CAAAGAGAGGAGAGGAGAGGAAATGTCCTAAAAGTGACAGGAAGAGATAAGATCAAGATCACGAGTAGAGAGGTTGATCTTGGTAAAGACAACAACACCTACCTCTTCCTCAAAGACTGAAACAAAAGAGACTGAAAAACAATGCAGAAAGGGCTTTGTAGTCTGGAGTGGGAAGAAGAAGCTGATGGCAGGTCTCTGTTTTTTTGTAAATTAGGAGGTGAAGTGTTCTGCTGAAAAGGGAAGAGATACATGAGAGAAGGTAGCAAAGAGTAGGGGGAAAATTATGGCCAAGGATATATAAGGAGGGAGGGAACTCTCTGAGTCTACCAAAAGAGAGAAGGAGCACTAGAGAAAGAGGTCTACAATGAAGAGGTTTGTTAGTTATGTAATTTTGTTAATTTTCCATAGGGAAGAGTGGAAGGGATGGATGAAGTTGGAATAAGAGATTAGGAGGATAGGATTGGAGAGGAAGATGGTTTATCCTTAAGCCATGGGAGATAAAGTGGGAGACCAAGCTGGTTGAGGCGACATTGTGATGCATACTGAATGTGTATTTTGATCCTTAAGTGTGTCAACTTTTTTTATCTGCTGAACATTTTAATAAAGCATTATTTTAATATAAAAACATGTACTGTATGTAGTTTAAAGGTAAAATCACAGATTTAGAGCTGAAAGGAATCTTTGAGATCATAAAGTCTACTCCTCTCATTTTGTAGATGGAGGAGATGAGGCAGGCAGGGTTTAAGGGAATCACCTTAGGTCACACAGGTAGCAAGTAGAAGACGCAAACTTCAAAGCCAGGTTCCCTAAATCCAGTGCCAGAACCCTTTCTACTGCACCATAGAATGTCCTCTTCATATCTTAAAATAATCTATAGGCCTAGTCTATACCTTCATTACTTCAATGAGTCGAGTATATCAAAAGATCTATGGTTTTATCAGAGTAGGTCTTCTTTCCATCATAGTCTTATCCTACCTCAGTATGGGATAGTATGAGTTGTTGTGGCCAAAACATATAAAAGATGCCCTAATGGTTAAATTTCTGGTGATTAGCCTTTTTAAACTGAGCTTAGCTGGTCCTTGGGTGAGTCAGTTGTTGGGCTGGTATTTGGAGCCTTTCCATCTTGGTAAGACCTGGTAGAGATTTTATTTTTCTGGAATAGCCCTCAAGAACTCAGGGCCACTTCCAAGTCATGATGACTTGAATGTGTCAAAGAACAATTTTAAGGAAGATTCATCACTTCCTAACTGTATTACAGCAATAACCTTGGAATTAGTTTTCCTGATTCTAGTCTCTTTCTGTTTTTTTTTCTACTCCCACTCAATAAATTCTAGTGGCTCCCTATTTCTAATTCATTCTATACTTCACCTTGTCACCAGATAAATAATCATAAATCACTTCTTTCTTCATGTTATTTCCTTATTCAAAAACCTCCAGTATTTCCTTCATTGCCCATTGAATCAAGTAAAACCTCTAGCGTTTTCCATTCAAAGCCCTCTATAATTTGTGCACTGCCTATCCGAATATCTTCTAATCCCAACAGGAACCCTGCATTCCTGTTCTCTGGAAGAATCATGCTAATTTCTATCTCCTTAAATTTTGCTTTTCCCCTCACCTGAAATTCTATCTCCTTCCTGTATACATCCAAATCCTACTCATCCTTTCAGTCAGTCAATCAACAGGCATTTATTAAGCGCTTACTATGTGTCAGGTGCTGTGCTAATAGGTAGTGATACAAAGAAAAACAGAAAAAAAAAAGAAAAACAAAATAGTCACTACCCTCTCCCTCAATCTAATGAAGAAGATAATGTACAAAAAAAAAATTGTGCTACAAGATATGTGATGACACCAACCTGCATTGGTAGAGGGAGTTTCCTTTCCTGGCTTTTGTCCTATACTACTGAAATAATAGGTCCAGTTGCTATACCTATATCTATATTCAGGTTATATAGAACATAGCCTGGTGAGGTGGATGGAATACTTCACTTTTAGGAAAGACAACAGACTACATTATGAATATAGATAGCAGTTGGCCATGGTAAAAAAAAAAAATACAAACATTGCATAGTAAATGTATGTCACTGCAAAATTCTGCCTGTTTTCCTTATTTGTTAAAAGTAATCTTTAGAAATAAACTTTATCTACTTGTACTCACCAGGCAACTTTCCACAAACCACTGCATTATTTCGATTCTTTGGAGATTTTGGTATTCCAAGAATTGTTGTAATACAACTTTACTGGGAGAATATGTGCTTTGAAGAGATAGATTTTTGTGCTGAGGAATAGGTTAGGATCATTAAAAAACCTTGTGGTTTCCCAAACTCATTGTATAACTAAATGCCAAAATGAACATCATAAGGCAGAGAATGGAGAGATTAGTTTGCGCCAGATAAATCAAGAAATGCTCATTGGAGGAAATGATAGTTGAGTTACCTCCAGGCTCAAATATAAAATCCTCTGTTTAGCTTTTAAAACCTTTCACAACCTGGCCTCTTCTTACCTTTCTGGTCTTTCTGCAATTAATTCCTTCCACATACTCTACCATCCATGCTGGCTGTCTAGCTATTCCTCACAGAGGACACTCTCTCCCTTGTCACCAGCTGTTCCATGGCCGGAATGCTCTCCCTTCTCACCTCCACTTCCTAGTTCCCTGGTTTCTTTCAAGACTCAGCTCAAATCCCATCTTTTCTAAGGGGCCTTTCCTAGTCTTCATCACGCGCGCGCGCGCACACACACACACACACACACACACACACACAGAGTTAATGTCTTCATTATCAACAAGTATTAAGCACTTACTATGTGTTAGGAACTGAACTAAGCACTAAGGACACAAAGAAAGGCAAAAACATAGTCCCTGCCCTCAAGGAGTATATATTCTAACGGGAGAGACAACATGCAAATAGTTATGTGCATACATGAGGTATACAATCAAAATTAAAGTTAATCTCAGAGGAAAGGGGCTGGGAAGGAGGGGGACAGAGAAAGCCCTATAGAAGGTAAGATTTCAGCTCTTTTGAAGGAATCAGAGAAGCTAAGAAGTAGATGTGAGAAGGGAAAGCATTTAAAGGCTTGGGGGAGAGTCATTGCAAAGGTGTGCTGTTGGGAGAAGCAGCAGAAGTAGAGCAGGGTAGCTGGATCATAGAGTAGGTGGGAAGGGAGTAAAGTTTGAGAAGCCTGGAAAGGCAGGAAGAGGCTAGGTTTTGAAGGACTTTAAATGAAAGAATATTTTATGTTAGATCTTAAAGGTAATAGGGAGCCACTAGAATTTATTGAGTGGGAATGGGGGTAGGCTGCTAGATTTGCCCTTTAGGAAAATCACTTCGGTTGTTGAGTAGAGAATAGATTGGAGTAGGGAGAGACTTGAAGCAGGTGATTAGGGCTTGTACTAGGGTCATGGCTCTGTGAGAGAAAGGGACATATACAAGAGATGTTAAGAAGGTAGAAATAACAAGGGACAATAGATTGTGTATGTGAAGTGTGAGATGGGATATGAGAGTAATGATTAAAGGGTGAGAGCAAAGCTGTGGGCCTGGGTGACTAGGAGGATGGTGGTTCCCATATAGTAAAGTTGGGAATTAGAAAGAGGTCAAGGAAGAGGATGGAAGAGAAGGAAATAGCAAACCACTCCAGTATCTTTGCCAAGAAAACTCCAAATGTGGTCAGAAAAAGTCAGACACCACTGAAACCACTGAACAAATAAACACTGAACAAGAGAAAATGGGACAATGAATTCTGTTGGGACTTGTTGAGTTTGAAATGCCTTAGGAACATCCAATTTGAGATATCCAAAAGGCAGTTGTTGATGAGGGGAGTGGACATCAGGAGAATGAGTCAATCTTTTGTTGTTGTTGAGTCCTTTTTGTGACTCTCAGTGACCCCATTTGGGGTTTTCTTGGCAAAGATACTGGAATGGTTGGCCATTCCTTCTCATTTTATAGATGAGGAAACTGAGACAGAGTTAAGTGACTTGTGCAGGGTCACAAAGCTATGAGTGTCTGAGGCCAGATTTGAACTCAGAAGGATGAGTCTTCCTGACTTACGGCTGACACTCTATCCACTGCATCACCTAACTGTCTGAGTCAGCCTTCAAGAACTTAATAAGCCACTGTGCTAGGTTCTGGGGATACAAAAAAAAAAAACCAAAAACCATAAAAACAAGGCCAGACTCAGGGAGCTTACGTTCTAAAAGGAGAAACAAACACACAAGTAATCATGTACATAAAAGATATCTAAATATCAAGTAATCTCAGAGGGAAGGCATCAGGCATGGAAGGAGGGCCTTTGGGGCATAGAGGACAGCCAGAGAAAAAGGCACAGTCAAGAGACATTGTGTCCTATGCAAGGAATAACAAATACCAAGTTTAATCACCCTAACTGGGTCGTAGAGTAAACTTTTAAGTCTGAAAAGGTAGGAGAGGACCAGGTTGCCAAGGGGAGTTAGGGTTGGATGCAGATCTGAAAATCGCCTGCAGAGTTAAGAATCGAACCCTTGAGACCTAATGAGATGGCCAAGCAGCGCATTACTGACGGAAAAGAGAAGAGGACTCGAGGTGCTTTGACCTCCAACGTCCCTTCCAGCTCTACATTTTTGAGTAAATGAATGAAAAGCAAAGCAAGGAAACTGATTCGGTGGGAAGAACTGGAGTCAGAGGACCTGGGTGGGAACGACCTATGTGACCTTAGGCAAGTCAACACTCCCCTTAGCCTCAGTTTCCTCATTTGTATACGGAGGAAGTGGGGGTAAACTAGGGTTCCGAGGTCGGCTTCCTTTTATATCCATCCTACGACTCCTGGAAAAGAAGCAGAGGGAGTGGGCGGGACACAGAGAAGCCACGACTCTCAGGACCTCGCAGACGGGAAGGGACCACGAGCTGAGCGCCTGCGCAACTCAGCCTTGGCTTTGTGGCGTTCCCTTCCACGCTCCGCCTCCCACGGCGCCTGACGCCGAGTCCGTGGGGGCGGGGCCCGGAGCGGGAGCCAGAACCAGACCTGGGCTGGTGAGCTGCGACTCCGCGCTCTGCGCCCGGAGTCGGGGCCTCGGAGCTGCACGAGTTGGGGGAGGAGCGAGCTGCCCTCGCCGTTGGATGGAGGTATTCCCAGCAGCGCGGCCGGCGGGCGGAGGGTGAGTGAGGGCAGGAGGGAAGGAAGGCTGGGCGGGGGCAGCTGCGGCTTCCAGTAGCTCAGTATAACCTGTGCTGCGCGGCCCCGGGTAGTCCTGGGAAACGTTTGTGGCGCCCCTCTTGGGAGCACCGGCCGCAGGAGGCGCACCCTCCAGTGCCTACGTCCCCGGGTTTTCCACCTGGAGCTGTCTGGAGGTGGGACCCAATGAGGGCATCCCATGCCTTTAAAGCCAGCCTAACCTCTCAAAGCCCGGCAATAGTAATAGTAGCTTATATGTATTTACTGTTTTAATGTTTGCAAAACGCTTTAGTAATTTGACTTGGTCCTCATAATCCTGGGAGGAAGATGCTCTTATTAACTCCATTTTAGAGATGGGGAAACCGAGGCTGGGAGGGAGAATACGTCTGGTAAGTGTCTTAGGCAGGCTATGAATTCAGGTTTTCCTGCCTCCCAAGTCCAGCATTCCATCCACTTGTGCCATCTAGTTGATGCTCAGGCCTCTGTTGCCACGGAGCATGTTGTATTGCACCCCCCCCTCCACACCTCATAATTCAAGCTCTTTTACCAGGACTGTTTTTTCCTTTTTTTCTGTGTATCTCCCAAGAACCTGTAGCTTGTAGTAGGTGCTCTTTAAAATGTTTGTTGGATTGAATTGGAGCGGGTTTGAAATTCAATTTGTTTCAATTTCAGCAACCATTTATTAAAATCCAGCCATGTGCAAAGTAGTAGGCTAAGTCCAGGGGATACAAAAGCAAATGAAAAACAGCCCCTGCCCTCCAGAGAGTTGCGATCTACTTGGTTGTGTCTGTCCTCTTATCTCCGGCATTTCAGGAAAACGAATGTATGCTTACCCCACCCCTAGTGTACACCGCCACCTCAGAGCCCTACCCTGATGAGGCTGCTTGGGACAAGAGGTTGTTCCACATAGGTGGAAAGCCCAGGGTTTTATGGGTTGTTTGTACTGAGCATTGTCACTGTGCCAGCTATTTTAAAGCCACCTGTGCTTGGGAATGCCATGCTGGTAGCAGAATTCACTACTGGAGATTTCTACTACGCAAATGAAACTTTTTGAGTGAATTTTTCAGATTGTGGATTTGTCCTTCTCTTTGGGCTCCCCATTGCATGTAGGATATAAATTCCTCGACGTTATGTTTGAGGCCCTCTATGTTCCGGCTGCAGCCTACCTTTCTGCTTTAAATCTTCCTTTGCACAACCTGTTCCTGCCAGACCGGACTTCTCAGTTCCCAGATTGCAACCTGCCCCTTACCTCCTCTGTGCGTTCATGGAATCCATCCCCCATGCCTGGGACACCTACTTCCATGTCACTTGCCTATCAAAATTCTCTTCAGAGCCCATCTCAAATGCCACCTTCATAAAGCCTTTACTCCCTCCCTGAAGCTGAAAGATTTCTTTGTCTGGTCCCTTCCTTTTTACCTAGCACATTTCACCCTGCATGATACTTGTGTCCCCCTTCCCATCTCCCCCATTCCATTGTAAACTTTTTGAGGCCAAAGAATGTGCTGGTTTTTACCATTTTTTCCCCAGGTCCTTGCATATAAAAGGCATTTAATAAATATTTCATTAATTGAGTTTGTTCAGAGAGAGACTCCCTTGTTAATAATAGATAATATTATATGTTCCCTGTATAGCAAAATATGAAAAAGAAAAAAACTATGGCCTGATCCCTTAAGTTAACAGTTCAGATAATGACAAATCAAGAAATATTTCCCTTTCCCCATTCCCCAAAAGGAATAATTTGAGAAGGACTTAACTGTCCTTTTTTTTCCCTCCACATTATGCTTTCATGGAAGACTGGGAGGAAGAGAACAGTACTGTAGGTGGAGAAATCCTAAGAGTATTCCACATTGAGCCTACCAGGAATTTGAAACAGCAGGTAGGGCTAAAGGATCCTATTTTGGTTAAGTAAGATTTTGCTGTAATTGCTTCTCTTCTATAACACCAGAATGGACATTTTGTGGAAAGGGGAGGAAAAGACACAATGAAGGGTGTTAGAGAATTACTAGTGGTTTTTGGAGTATGTCTCTAATGTACTTCAAACATGTTCACTAAGTTTTCAATGTACATTGTGGTCATTTTTCTTCACAACCTTTTCCTTTTCTTTAACAGAAATCCTTATTATATACTTAATTAACAGATAGGCTTCTTCTTATTTCTACTTACAGAGTAGGTTGGGTAGTGGAAGGTTTATTCTCAAGTCAAATACTGTTTAATGTTTCAGGAAATTTATTAGGAACCTAATTCCTGGAAAGTTGGCTGGAGAACAATATCCATCACTCTTTTAAGACCGGATTCAAAATGCACTTCCTCTAGTGAATTCTGATTAATCTCATTTCACCTTTTATGAAAGGCACAAACAAAAAAAGTTCTTGGTTGCCTTTTTCTCCTTTAGAGCATCATTTATCCCTCTCACAGAACCTTTCCTTAGGTACCCAATGCCCTTTTGCAGCTGCTCCCAGCTGACTTTTTCCTCCTATCCTAGACCTAGTACTGTATTCTACCCCTCTTATCAAAGTCCATAAAATGTTTGGTAGAAGTTTTAAGAAATTAATTCATACTACAGTGTTAATGACTGATAATGGCTACATGTATTACTCTTCCCAGAAATATCTGTGTTTTAAAAGGGTCTAAATCTTAACCCAAATGAGTAAAACATTAATGGTAGAATTTTACAATTAATGATAAGTAGGTAAATCAGCATTTTCAGGCGATTCCTCTTTCTTACCTCCCTCCAAAACTCATTTAAAAGTATAATTATCTTAAAAAGTTTACTGGGCCACTGTAATAGTTTACATCTAACTGGCAGAGCCTTAAAGACTTCTTATTAGATATATTTTAATGGTGATTCTTTTTGGGGTGGTATGAGTTGAACTAGATGGCCAATGGGGTCCCTTCCAACTCTAAAATTCTGTGATTCCTTTTTATTCTCTTAATAACCCCCAAGGCACCAAGCTCAGTACTTCTGAAATAGATACTCCATAAGATGTTTCTTAACTAAATGTATTCAATATACACAAAAATCTAACCTCCATCTAAGCATTTTTTTTTTGGAAGTTGAACTGTTTTCTAGTATTTTCAACACTTTCCACCTGGAAAGGGGGCACTAGATATAACTGCTAAATCCGTTTTTATCTCCAGTGACCTATTAAAAAATCTGATATGTAAATTGTATGGTCCATTAAAGCCACATATATAGAGAAAATATTAATATAAGATAATATTGGCTGCAGCTTACACATTGATATGAAAATAACAAACCAGAAGCAACACTGTCACACAGGACACTGTTTAAAGGGAGCTAGGTTTTTTCTTCTTTTGTTATTGATATGCCTGTCAAGTCTAACCTTGCCTGACCTTGCCCAAAGACATAGGTAAAAAACCAGTATGTGAGTACCGGGCCTCTGAGGCATTCTTCTGTCTTTCCAAGTCTCTCTGGGCTCAGGGCTCTCTGGAAATGTGTTTTCTAGTCCCCATGGTTTTTAGTCTTCTGGGATTTCAGAAGCCACCGCACAGAGGGAGTATTTGAGTGAAAGCCTCAACTCTTCTCTTGTTTTTAAAATCACTAAGCAGCCTTTCCCAAACCAAAGTCATGGAACCAGAAGACATCTTTGCTACATTTGTAAGTGTTTATAAAACCCAGCTGAAGGCCTACTTCATGTCTTTCCTGTATAAATTCAGTTAAGTCCAGCTGTTTATGCTTCCCAAGTGAGTTATTGTCTTCTGATGTGTATAGTTACTTAGATGCAGTTAGATGGCACAGTAAGTAAGTAAGATACAACGCTACACTCCCAGTCAGGAAGAACAGAATTCAAATCCAACCTCATATACTTGCTAGGTGTGTGATGCTAGATAAGTCACTTAATCTCTCTTTGCCTCAGTTCCCTCACCTGTAAAATGGGTATAATAATACCCATTTCAAGGATAAAATGAGATAGTATTCATCAATCTCTTTGTAAACCTTAAAGTGCTATATAAATGCTAGCTATCATTGTTATCACTACAAAGCAATACTGCTCATTATTTTCCAACATCCTCTTTAAGATTTTACAAATGTATTTCTGTTCTAAACCAATATTGTTCTTTTTCTGCTGGCAGAAATCAGGTGTTTGATAAGGTCATTTTTAGGCTCTTCTTCATGTCTTTAAAACATGTCTTCAAAACCATGGTAATCTGTATTGATGTCCTTTTCCTTTATCCATTTTGCATTTCTGATATCAGTAACTTCTCTCAGCAGGTCAGGTTAGAGTTGTTTTAACTGCTTGCATAGTGACCATCTAATCCAACTCATACCTGAAAAGGAATCACCACTATACCATACCTGCAAGTGGTCATTCAGCCTCTTCTTGAAAACTTCTGATGAGGGGGAGCCCATAGCAGTCCTTTCTACTTTTAGATAGTTCTGATTTTTAGGAAGTCTTTCCTTATATCAAGCCTAAATCTACCCCTTTGTAACTCCCATCCTTTGCTTCTGGTTCTGGGGCAAAACAGAAAATCTAATCATTCCACATGGTTGCCCTTCCAATACTGGAACACATCTCCCATATTCCCCACCAAACTTTCTCTTGTTCATTCCTGTCTCCTTCATCCAATCCTCATATGCACATATCCCACTGCAGATTCACCACCCTAGATGCCCTCTACTGAACAGCTTATCAATGCCCTTCTTAAACTGCTATCCTTAACCATAGCCTAGGTGGGGTTTGACTAGGGCAGACAAGTACTGCCTTATTCCCGGAAGTTTTGCTTCTCATGCAACCCAGGAGCTTTTTTGGTTACCAAGTCACACGAGTATACAATCCATGAAAACCACCAGATCTTTTTACAGACAAATTGCTATCTAACTGTGCCATCCCAGCTTGTTATTTGTAAGGTCAGTTTTTTGAACCTGAGGGTAAGACTTTACATTTATGCCTGTTATATTTCATCCTCTTAAGTTTAATCCAATGTTCTATCTAGTTTATTAAGATATTTTTGAACCCCGTC